CTTTCCCTATACATGTAGGTTGAACTGTGTGTAATGTTCGTGTTTTGGTTGCAGGTGGAAAATCCTCTTAAAAGAAAAAAGGCCGGAACACTTAAAGGAATGAAAAATAATGATATCACACATACTGGTCTGATGAATAAGAAACTGAAGATATCAGGAGATGGTGGCAAGGCAAGTGAGCTTGTTATAAAACTGCTGGTTCCTTTTCTTTTCTTTCTTTGTGCTTATTTCTTCTTTGCATTTCTTTAATACTTAAGTTGCTACCGACTTACTGCATTTCCTTTTTTCTTTTGACCACACATACTTTTTGTTTCTTTCTGATTTTATACTTTAATTCATGTATACAAGGAAACTGCCTGCACTGGGAAAGTATGATTGTATTTAAAAAACCTTGTATGTTTTTGTTTGTAACATTCCTTCTTGGATATACACTTGTGCATTTTCTTCCATTTGATAACCAATACAAGACAGTCTGGATGCATTTTGGAGGTGGTAATATGTAATACTGTTATTCTTATTTGTTGTACATTCCCATCAACTTTACTGTGTGCTAATGATTCTCGGATCTGTGGAATGTCTCATGTATTTGTATTTTTCCTCCTCTTAGAAATCATTCTTAATTTGACTACCTCTTTGAATTCAGACATACAAGGAGAAGAAATCAGCACGAGAGAAATTTATATGTGGAGCATGTCATCAGGTATATAACTCAGATAAGTTTAGTTTAGAGTTTTGGTAATATTCTGCTAAATAGTGTGACTAATAATTTAATACTGATTGTTTACCTTTTTGATGGCCTAGGCTGGACACATGAGAACAAACAAGAACTGCCCCAAGTATGGTGAAGATCAGGAAACACACAGCGACACTCCAGATCTGGATAAAGCAGAAGGAAAGATAACTGCTCTGAATCCATCTAATCAGGCTCAGCAGAAAACTACGACAAAGAAGCTGGTACCTAAAAGTGCAACTAAAATTGCCGTGGTTGAAGCTTCCGATGTTGACATTGGTCTGAGTACAAAGGTTCTTCCATTGAAATTCAAATGTGGGTCAACTGAAAAGCTTCCTGATAAACAGGCTCTTGGAGAGACAGAGAGCTCTGAACGTCCGGTGGCATCTGATCCGGAAACTGGGAAGCCCACTTTTAAGGTGAACAAGATAATAATATCGAACAAGATGAAACCTGAAAATGCACCTGTTGAATCTCAGAAGCCACCTATTGTGATACGGCCTCCCACAGATACAGATAAGGGCCATGTCGAATCACAAAAGCCAACTATTGTTATACGGCCACCAGCAAATACAGATAGAGACCAGATGGAATCTCAAAAGCCATTAATTGCTAAACGACCATCAATGGAGGCACAGAGAGAGCAACATCATAAGAAAATTATAATTAAACGTCCAAAAGAAATTATTGATATAGATCAGGTCAGTCAGGATGGGAGTACTCCTGTTGAACATAGGAAAACTAAAAGAATTGTTGAATTGACAAGTTCTGAAAAGAACAGGAAGGAAGAGAACATGTATTTGGCTAAGGAAGCTGCAAAAAAGAAAGCTAGAGATGATAAGAGATCAAGGGAGGAGCAAGAGAAACGAAGAAATGAAGAGAGATTGAAAGAAGAGAGGGCCAGGAGGCTTTACGAAGAGGAAATGAGAATGATAGAGGAGCAAGAAAGACTAGCAGAGATTAGAAGATATGAAGCAGTCATCAGACAAGAGAGGGAAGAAGAAGAACGCCAGAAAGCGAAGAAGAACAAACAGAAGAAGAAAAGGCCTGAGATAAGAGAGGATTATATAGAGGACTCACGAACAAGAAGACTTGACAAAAGGATGCAAGAAAGAGATCGGGGTGCAAAAAGGAGGCCAGTTGTTGAATTGGGAAGGTATGGTGGAGAATCTGCCACAATAACAAAGCGTCGTAGAGGGGGAGAGGTAATATGTTCATGCTTATCTTCAAGTTATTTTCATTCATTCAGATTTTCCCTGCACATGCCACCTTTATTACAACTGGTGGCAGATTCATTCTACAATATGTAGTAGTTCACTGCCTACACCAGGATAAAATTTAGGAATTGATCGGTTGAAATGGACAATCCCAGTCTACCCACTACGAATTGCAACTGTTCTTTTAGAATTATTAATTGTTTTCCAGTGGGTTCACACTGACTTTTAATCAAAATTTATTTGGTAGAGTTTTGTTTGTGGTGTGACTTAGTATTTCTCTGTACTTATAAAACAGCAAACAATATTCATCTCAAATAAAACAGTAAAAAGAGTGGAAGCAATTACGAATCACTTTTTGGGGGAGTTTATTTATGTAGTTTTTATGGGTAACGGTGAGAAATCCTGTTAAATTTATGCGCTAAGACAAACATCCTTTTATTTTTCCCGTATCTTTCTTGGAGTTGATTTATTTAACTGGTCTCAATACTGCATTTTAGTGATGTTCAGTAATTGTTTAGTGAATACCTACTAACCCAGGATAGGAATGGGATGAGGTAATGCTTGTTCTAATACGTAAGAAAATAAAACAAAACGCGGAAGAGAAGGGCCCATTGTTCTTTTCTGAAATTGTGCAAGCTAAACTCCCATACACCAAGCAATGAATTAATGCACAGCCAAAGGTGCCAAGGACTTTTGTAGTTTCTTTGTTGTAAGAAATTACAGTGTGTCATTATCAATTGATTGCAATGTTCATAGATGGTATACAAATATTCACATCGACCTCAAAGAGGCTTGTATAATAACAAATATCCTATGTAATACTGTACAAAACATTCTTATTTATCTTCGTACTTTTTCTACAGGTTGGTCTGGCAAACATCTTGGAGCGTATTATAGAAACCCTGAAAGATCGAATTGAAGTATCGTATCTTTTTCTTAAACCAGTATCCAAAAAGGAAGCTCCTGATTACCTGGACATCATAGAGCGCCCCATGGATCTGTCTACAATCAGGGAGAAGGTGAGGAAAATGGAGTACAAGAGTAGGGAGCAATTCAGGCACGATGTGTGGCAGATAACTTATAATGCTCACAAATATAATGATGGGCGTAATCCAGGTATACCTCCTCTCGCAGATCAGCTCTTAGAGCTTTGTGACTATATGTTGGTTGAGAATGACGAAAGCTTGACTGAAGCTGAAGCAGGCATTGAATCTGCAGATTTTTAGAGATATTGATACTGATTTAATATCCGTAAATTTATTTTTTCAAAGAAGAATGCCCACTTTTGCCGGAGTAAGTTTTTAGGTATTGTGGATTAAAGAGACTGCGTCGGCATCATCTGACATGTCAGGAAGCATCAATGAAAGAAAATAGTCGCATCTCCTGTAAATTTGTGATTATCTGCTGTAATTTGTGTTTGAGTTATTGAATAACATCCGTTTTAAAATTGTATTAGTTGTACAGAGACTGCAATGTTTAAAAAGTTTCATTGACACAAGGGGCTTGTATCTCAAGTGCTTAAGAGCATTTAGCCTGCACTCAATGTCCTAGGTTCGATTCCCCCTCCCCCAATATCTGCTTGACATATCAGTTTTTCAATCAAAATTTCATCTTGCAAAGTCACCGATATGAGCAGGAGGATCAAAAGTTTTTTTGTGCTGGATGTTATTTCATCTTCATTTCATGCATCTGACATTCCATTCCAGTATTGGTTTTTGGTTTCCTGAGTACAACTTGATCAATATATCAAATCCTTTCCAACGTTGCAGTTAATTACCCATTGAATGAGTACTAGCAACCTATACTGATTGAATCCGCGAATGAAAGTTCACATGCACACAAGCGAGTTGTATAATTTTTAGGAGCAATGGTCCTTCAACTTAGGCATGACGTATTGAACAACAAAGAAAAACAAAATTTAGGCATGATTTACATTTTGGTCCTCAAACTTGATTATTGGTTCTGTTAGTTCCTCAACTCCACTTCCTCTCATATCATTAGTCCTGCCTTCAGCCCCTATAAAACACAGTGCCCAACATCCAGGTGAGAACCACTGTCCAAAAGTCCAAGCACAATCAAAGTACAAGGAATTTCATGCATACTTTTTCTCTTGCTAAACTTGTGGATCCTTAGCTCTCACAATACGCCTCTGGTGCCAACCCGAGTTTAATCTCGATTCAATCCTAATTAGAGTAACGATAAAATATTATTCACACTCTCAGCACCAAGTTCAAACTCAAATAATATCCTTCCAACACCTGGTTTATCCTTCTCGTCAATTCTGTGATATAGAAGAATCAACACATCAACCCCAACGTACTTAGGTTTTGTCCCATCGTTCTTCTCTATCGGCACTCTCTATAGAGATGACGTTTTTCTTGCCAATAATGTCCCAATGAGCCATTGAAGATAACCATAGCACTCTCTCAAATTCACTTTCGGGGTGTTTTAGGCTTAGTACTACTGGAAACTCAAACACCGGTAAAATAAAACTCGATCCATTGGGTGTGCCAAAAAAAGATGTTTGCTAAACAACTACCTAGCCTTAGAAATCGATCGAAGCAAGCTCTAGTTAACTTACCTTTGAAATTATGTGAGCATGCCACTATTGATATTGCAAAAGAACTCAATAGAATATATAATTTGTGATTGATTGTGCCTCAAGTAACTAATTTCTAACCAAGCCAATGTGCATTAGGTAGAGATCTAGCTAGATATTGGTTATTTTCCATGCCTTAAAAGCAATAAGGACTTAAATTCCCCATGAATATGATACAAACCATTTATATACTGCTAGATATCACTTAAGAAAGTAAAAAGAAATCACTCCAAACTAGTAGGAAGAAATTTTGATTGGGTCATGCCGAGTTCTGAATCAAGAATCCTTAAGCAGGCTTGAAACCTCTATAGAACCGATTTGTGATCTAAAATAAATATGCTAAAATTTGAGTTGACTTGTGTTGAAAAAGTCGTATCTATGGTTCTAAATTTGAGTCGTCTTACATAGTAGTGCTTGAATGACTTAATTAGATTAGGAATCCATTCTAGAGTCGATTTGAATTGCTTGGAGTATGAAGTACTTCAAAATTGACTGCACTGTTTTATGCTCTTGTAGTCTAAATAATGCTTGATCCCCATATTTCTTTTACTTGATCTCCATACTTTATTATTTTATACAAAATACAATATTGAAGGAATGGAAAATCGAACTTAGGACCTTTCTTGATTGTCAAACCTTTGACTCCATGCAACACGTTCTCAGAGTCGTTCTATGGTGAGGTACCTTTATATTAACCACATAATTTATCTGAATAGTAACTTCACTTAAATTTAATGAAATGATCATGTGACTAATATAAGAGGTCTACATGAAGAGTCCACTATACGACACCCTCATTGTAGAATTTTGCCACGTTTCTCACTCTCAACTAGGCGTCGTTATTCTCATCAAGTCCAATAGCAAGCCTCAGTCAAGGCCCAAAAACGAATGAATAAAAATAATTTATAAACATTAGAAAAACATAATAGAAATGAAGAAATAAAATATAAATAAAAAAAGAAGAAAGAAATTTCTAACGTGGTGGGCTGCAACTTTGACTAAGAAGAAGAGCCATCCGCAGCTCCTGCCAAACCCAAACCCAAACAAACCAACCCACCAGCTTTTAGTTTTACTTTTCTTTTTTTCCTTTCTTCCCCAAAACAAAACTAAACTCTGTTTTCATTTCAAGCTCAAAGACAAAGTCCTCCATTGATATCCCTCCCTCTCTCTCTCTCTCTCTCTCTCTCTCTCTCTCTCTCTCTGTCTTTGTCTTTGTCTACTCTCCAGCGTATGCTTTGGCAAACGAAATCTACAATTTCAATCTCACGCCCAAAGCAAAAGCAAAAGCAATAGCAAAAGCAAAAGCATCCGAATTTTCTAGACTTTGGGTCAACGACGTCAAACCCAGAGATGCTCCAGATTTTGATCGGTCAACGCCAGCTGCTTCCCCAATTTTTAGACTTTGAATTCGAATCAGAATTAGGGATTCGTTTATGAAGAGGCTGAGGCTACTGAGCTGAGCTGAGCTCCTGGAATTTGTGAGGGAAATAGACGCAGTGATGTCCGCCACCTCGGGCTCTGCTTCTGTTTGGCTATTTCTGCTGTTTGGTTTCCTTCAACTCCTTAAGCTCTCTGGCAACGTTGAAGGTCTCTTCTTCATGTGTTGTGTGTGTTTGGTTATGGGAATTTGGGTGAATGAATGACTGATTTGATTTCCTTGGAGACAGGTGACGCATTGAATGCGTTGAAGAGCAATTTAATTGATCCTAACAATGTTCTCCAAAGTTGGGATCCCACTCTCGTCAACCCCTGTACATGGTTTCATGTCACTTGTAATAGCGAAAACAGCGTTACGCGAGTGTAAGCAGCTAAAACACTTCATTTCACTTGTTTCTTTCAGTACATTCATTCAATTCATTTTCCTTCTGTTTATTAAGCAAACCCAGGAAAAGAAAAATATCCAAAAAGGAGAAGGAAAAAAAAAAGACTAATGATATGCTTTTCTTGTTTTTAACATTTGCGCTCATTCAGTGATCTTGGCAATGCCAATCTCTCTGGTCAATTGGTGTCACAACTTGGTGTTCTTTCCAACTTGCAGTACTTGTAAGTGTGTTTTTTAGTCTACTTGTTTGTCCCTGTATTATCTAAAGTTTCATCAATATGTATCCAAATTGAAATTGGAATCTTACCTTAAAAAGTGAAAAACTGATCCATCGATTCACTACTTCCATTGACAGGGAACTTTATAGTAATAACATAACTGGAAACATTCCAGCAGAGCTTGGAACTTTGACAAACTTGGTCAGCTTGGATCTTTACTTGAACAGTTTACGTGGTACCATTCCCGACACACTTGGCAAGCTAGAAAAACTACGTTTCCTGTATGAACCCGCATCCTTTGTCTACATTCTTTGTTTTTTCTTAACAAATTGTCTTCATTCTTTAGTTGGTAGATTCATTTATTTATGTTCTGATTGATTATGCTTTCTCTGAATGCATCCCGTACAGTCTATTATGTGACTTGTCCACTAACAAATATGGTTTTTCTTTTGGATTTAGAGGATTTAGGTTGTGGTTTAAAGAAAATAAATATATCTTGTATTTGTTTGTTTTATTCGATATGCTAATTTAATGTTTTCAATTATTCCTTCAGTAACATTCATCCTTAGAGTGCATGATAGCATCTAGGTTGAACCCATAAGATCACTTAGGTTGACTATGATCTACCAATATTGTGCCACTGTAGTTAAGGCATCAAGGTGGAGTTTAAACAAATTAGCATAAGGAAAATAATATACAACAGGTCAACAATACGCAAAAGGACAAAAAACATAAATAAGTAATTGGAACCCTTAAGGCAAGATGCCTGGTATCAAGATTCTAAAGAAGGTAATAGTTCACTCAGTAAAGCTAATATGGATGCGACTGGAACTCTAAATGCCAGAAGCATTAAGCTAAAAGCAGTGGTGTAAATATTCTAAAGAATGTCCTAATAGGAAAGGAAGAAATAATAGTTCCCATAGCTTTTTGCTGTTCCGTTTTGTACCTTGATGATTATGAAACCCCAGGTTGCCAGTTAATCATGGCACATAATAGCTTGAAGAGGCCCTGTCATAAATTTCTTTAGCTCTTTTTGAGTGTTTTGTTTCGTAGTTCTCTATCCCCAGAAATGTTGATGCAGAAGAAGTCTTAAAATAATGCCATCAACTATCTAAAAGAGACTTCTTGTGCTAGTAATTGAGTTCATGAAGTTTTAGTCTGAAGGATGATGATAAGCTTATATTTAGTAAGAGTATTCCAGTTTGTGTTTCTATCTGATCTCAATCTTTTATATTGCAAATAGTTGTATAACATTGAGTTTTAATTGGAGTGTTATAATTTCCAATTTAGTTTTCGAGCCATCCTTGTGATCTCTCTTAGGTTTATCATAAGAAAATTATCATGCTCTCTTTTTGGCTTCTCAACAACTTTCACTTTTCTGGGCATGCAGAAGTTAGGGGGATTTATTTATTTTCCTGAATACTGAGTATGTTAAAAAGAGAATCCATTGATTTCCCAGAAATGCTGTGCTTTAATCCTTGGTATCTCAAGCAGTAACAGTTACTAGATTCATATTATCTAACCAGTGAAGGATCCTGCAGAATGTGTAGTCTGTTTTGACACTATGTGCACGCATGACTTGCACATTCTTCTAGCGTTTGAATGTGACAAGAAACATGTGAAGAAAAAAAAAACCATAAAACTTCGTTTCAGTCTATTTATCATCTACCCTTGGAAAAAATTGAATAGTGATGTGTTAGAAATACAATATATGTTGTCATTGGAATTGTTGGGGATATAACAGTTTCTGTTCCGTGAAATAGGCGTCTCAACAACAACACCTTGACGGGGAATATTCCCATGGCTTTGACTAAGATTCAATCGTTGCAAGTCCTGTGAGTTTTGTACCCTTTTCATCTCAATAAGGAGAGAGCGAGAGAGAGAAGAGTTACTAGTTTCTCTACCATCAGAGAATTCAAATAACAAAGTTTTTTTTTTTTACATGGAATGCAGGGATCTTTCAAATAACAATCTGACTGGAGATATTCCAGTCAATGGTTCTTTTTCACTTTTTACTCCCATCAGGTTTGTAGAGGCTATTTTATTCTTTTTCTTTTGGAAGGCTTAAGTAAATGATGTACTCACTGACATTATTCCTCATTTTGCAGTTACAAAAATAACCCTAATCTGAAAGCTCTTCCAGTCACTCCATCTCCTCCTGTTTCTCCAACCCAGCCAAGTTCTCCAGGTTTTACCAGTTATAGTATTCTTGTGATATGGACTCTTTTTTTTTTAATTTTTTTTTTCAGAGAGCATGATGTTTGAATATTTTCCAGGAACTTTTTGGCTATCCCTTGTGTTTATATATTTATTTTCATAATACGAGATGCTTGTTGCAATCACAGAAATGAAGAAGAAGAAGAAGAGAGAGAGAGAGAGAGAGAGTTATATAACATCTGACTTTGATGAGAGAGAGAGAGTTATATAACACTGACTTTGATAATTTTTCATTATATAACATCTAACGTTAATGAATTTTTATTTAGGTTCTAGCTCATGTCATGCAAATAAACCTTCTGCTTAACTCTGGTGATTCTTATTAGGTAACACTGCTACTGGGGCTATTGCTGGAGGGGTTGCTGCCGGTGCTGCTTTGCTGTTTGCTGCACCTGCAATTGCACTTGCTTGGTGGCGACGAAGAAAACCACAGGATCATTTCTTTGATGTACCTGGTTAGTCAATTATAAAAGAATAATTTAACTTGATCAGGATCATGTTGTATTATGGGATGCATGTTTCACCGATCTATACACTTTGCAGCGGAGGAGGATCCAGAAGTTCATTTGGGACAGCTCAAAAGGTTTTCTTTGCGCGAGCTACAAGTTGCAACAGATACCTTTAGCAATAAAAATATTCTAGGTAGAGGTGGATTTGGTAAGGTTTATAAAGGACGTTTAGCTGATGGGACTCTGGTAGCTGTAAAAAGACTTAAAGAGGAGAGAACCCAAGGCGGAGAGCTACAGTTCCAAACAGAAGTTGAAATGATTAGCATGGCTGTCCACCGCAATCTGCTTCGTCTGCGTGGATTTTGCATGACACCAACAGAAAGGCTGCTTGTATATCCTTATATGGCTAATGGAAGTGTAGCATCATGTTTAAGAGGTAGTGTTTTAAATTCTTTGCTATGTTGATGAATCTATTTTTTTCTTGACATTAGGAAATTATTTCGAATACATTGATTCAATAAATTAATTTTTCAGTTTTAAGTTACCTTTGTGATGTTGATCTTATTTCTTCTAATTTGAGGATACCAAAAAATTCTTTTTTATCTTTTCCTTTGGGGAGGTATGGTGAGATCACACGACCTATTCTGTAATTCTGCTTTCATGATTATGTCTATGAATTATTGTAGATCGTCCAGAAGCACAGCCTCCACTTGATTGGGAAATAAGAAAACGCATATCATTGGGATCTGCAAGAGGCCTTGCTTATTTGCATGATCATTGTGATCCGAAAATTATTCACCGTGATGTGAAAGCTGCAAACATATTGTTAGATGAGGAATTCGAAGCAGTTGTTGGAGACTTTGGATTGGCTAAACTCATGGATTACAAAGATACGCATGTTACCACAGCTGTACGTGGCACAATTGGTCATATAGCACCAGAGTATCTCTCAACTGGAAAGTCGTCGGAGAAAACTGATGTTTTTGGATATGGAGTCATGCTTCTTGAACTTATCACTGGGCAGAGGGCTTTCGATCTTGCTCGGCTTGCAAATGATGATGATGTGATGTTGCTTGATTGGGTATGCATTTACGTTTTTCTATTTCTGTATGTAGCTAATTTATTATTCAATGCAGATTAGATAGTTCCCTGTGAAGGTTTCTGTAATTGTTTTGGGTAGTTCCCTGAAAAATAATTAAAAGATAGTAATAGTGTTATTTAAACAGCTGGTCAGTTCCTGTTGGATGCATGTAGAAAATGTAGAACAGACTTGTGTCCTTTTTGGCTCAAATGTAGAAAACAGTTGCAATGATGGACGGAAGAAGAAAAAATTATATTTACTTTAGGTGTAGGCAGAAAAAGCTTAGAAAATCAGTTCAATTTGATTAGCTTTTACTAATTGGAAGTACATTTTAGCGGCAATTATTTATTTAGCTTTATTTACAACATTTAAGTTTTATCTATTAGAGATAAATTATAATTTTATTTTAGCACTTATATTGTTATTAATATAATTTGTATAATCACTAATATATATTATATTACTATTATTTGTTGTTATCGTTATAATTTTTGCTCTTGTTGGTTGGCCTTACTGTGATTGTTTGAAAGTGACAACTACTTTGGTTCATTATATTAGGTTATCATACCAAACTACTTTGGTCCATTACACGCTTTCATGTTTAAACATTATGGGCACATTTGTGCTGTCCCTGGTACCATATTTTTCTTTTCAACTTGTGGAACTACCTAACTTTTATTTTTTTCAAAATAAAATAAAATAAAATTTAGGTCAAAGGATTGTTGAAAGATCGGAGATTGGAAGCTCTTGTTGATGCTGATCTAGAGGGTAACTATATTGACGACGAGGTGGAGCAGCTGATCCAAGTAGCTCTACTCTGCACGCAAGGCTCCCCAGGGGAGAGGCCCAAGATGTCAGAGGTTGTCAGAATGCTTGAAGGGGATGGTTTGGCAGAAAGATGGGAGGAGTGGCAGAAAGAGGAGATGTTCCGCCAAGACTTCAACCCTATTCAACATGCAAGTACGAATTGGATCATGGACTCTAGTTCTCAAATTCCACCAGATGAGTTGTCCGGTCCCAGGTGATACGCTCCTTCATTCCGTCCTCTGTATACATGTAAGAAGCCTTCAGGAATTGACAAGGCCCATTTTGTATTTCAGCAATACTAAATTTGTGTATATGTTTGTCTTTTCTCCTCTTATTTGCTTTTGTTGTCCATTTTATTCTTCTCTAATGTCTTGTTTATATCACACAATGGAGCTGGTGCTGCTGTAATTTTTATAGGGTTGTTAACTGGCATTATGAAATTATGGTGCTAGCAACACGGCAGGAACTAGGAAGGGCCATAAAAGCACCCATTCCTTATCATTTTTATGTACCCGGAAATTAGTCAAGATTGTCGAATAAATAAATCTTTATTTCCTGCATCGCAGAATGATTTTGTATTAAAATTAAGGTGTTCCATTACCGTACATATTACCATGTCATCATTCCTTTCTGGTTCATTCTTATTTGTGGCCAAGCTATGGTCTATGATTCGAATGTAAATGGAAAAAATCCTTCAGCAATGCAAAATTCATGCGGGGTGAATTAAGAAACAATGTGTGCTATTCGTAGAAGTGTATTGTTTTTTCCTCTTTTTGGGGTTGTGGAGGGAGGGCTTAAATAGGTGTCTGGGAACTCATGAATCATGATCTATTATGTGTCTTATAACTTATAATCTCTATCCCCGTTAAGCATTTCACCTCCATCCCACCATTCCCATCTCTATCCTCATTAAGCATTTCACTTCCGTCTTCATACCCACAATATTCAAATTGGGGATTGCCCATCCTTGCCTTCATTGGTGACCTGCCCTATTACACAACCATGGTCAAGAAGCGGCCGTTAATAGAGGTGTTATGTTCAAGAAGCATGACTCCATATCCAAAAACATCAGTTTTCTCTGACGACTTTCCAGTTGAGATATACTCTGGCGCTATATGACCCATTGTGCCACGTACAGCTGTGGTAACGTGTGTATCCTTGTAATCCATGAGTTTGGCCAATCCAAAGTCTCCAACAACTGCTTCGAATTCCTCATCTAACAATATGTTTGCAGCTTTCACATCACGGTGAATAATTTTCGGATCACAGTGATCATGTAAATAAGCAAGGCCTCTTGCAGATCCCAATGCGATGCGTTTTCTTTTTTCCCAATCAAGTGGAGGCTGTGCTTCTGTACGATCTACATTAATGGATAGACATAATCATGAAAGCAGAATTACAGAATAGGTCATGTGATCTCACCATAACTCCCCAAACCCAAAAACTTGTTCATCTTGGTATCCTCAAATTAGACGGAAATAAGATCAACATCAAGAATTCGAAATAATTTGTTAATGTCATGAAAACATAGAATGATCCACGTAGCAAAGAATTTAAAAGACTACCTCTTAAACATGATGCTACACTTCCATTAGCCATATAAGGATATACAAGCAGCTTTTCTGTTTGTGTCATGCAAAATCCGCGGAGACGAAGCAGATTGCGGTGGACAGCCATGGTAATCAGTCCAACTTCTGTTTGGAACTGTAGCTCCTCACCTTGTGTTTTCTCCGCTTTGAGTCTTTTTACAGCCACCAGAGTCCCATCAGCTAAACGTCCTTTATAAACCGTACCAAATCCACCTCTACCTAGAATATTTCTATGGCTAAAGGTATCTGTTGCAACTTGTAGCTCATGCAAAGAATACCTACTAAGCTGTCGGAAATTGACTTCTCGATCCTCGTCCGCTGCAGGCCTTCTGATCTGTGTGACATCGACTTCTGGATCCTCGTCTGCTGCAGAGTTTATACATAAGTAAAACATACACCCCATGTGTTAGTGTGTGGAAGTTGCGGCTGGGAGGAGAATGTCCGGCCGGTTGGACTCGACTCGAGCTATTGAAGTTGCCACTGGGTCTCCGGATTTGTTACTGTTGAAACTCGCGGATGGAGCTTTGAGGCCGAGCCCAAAGAGGGAGAGATGTGCGGCTCCTCTACCTCTCGGAACCGAAGCTGAACCACCGACGTATCGGTTTACCGAACGAACAGTTCGGTTTCCGAGGGAGACAGAGGCAGCGAGCGGAGAGTTTCCGAACTGTTCTCTCCTTCTTTTCTCCCAAACAGGCCCGAAGTAACGGCGCAAAGACAGAGAGAAAGAGAGAGAGCGGGACAGGGAGAAGAGGAGATGAAGTCTTGCATTGTTGGAAGTTTCTTGTGCTTTTCTCTTCTTTGCCCAAGACTTCATCTACAAAATTGGTCAACAAGTATCATAAATTTAGTAATAAAAAAGAAAATAAAAATTTTAAAGTAAAATTGAAATAGTTATCAAACGGGTCCTAAATTTTTTATTAATGCCATATAATTAAATTGTTTGAAATGAAATATTAACAATGTTCAGAGGTTATGTTGCGTTGTTGTATGATATTCAGATATGGACACAAAAGTTATGAACTAATGAATTTAGGCCAACGGTTTTTAATTAAAACCATTACATAATTTTTTAAATTTATATTTAGGAAAAAATAATAATTTGTTTTTAATGAAACGAATTTAAAAAAAAAATTAAGCATTGAATGCTTTCCCTTTTCTTTTCTTTAGCAGGGAACTTTATTTTCTGAATAAAGTTCATTGTGCCCATCAATTCTATTTTTGTTGCTCTAACACTAATTTTAAAATACCTATTTTACCTTTATACGTAATTATCACTAGCCCCTTGGCACATGAGTGAGCATGTGCCAGTTGGTTTTCTTTTTTCCTTTTCATTTTATTTTTCAAATTAAAAAAAGATAATATTGGTAGTTATCTTCCATAAAAGTATGAGCTATTATCAATTTTTATTTTTATTTTTAATATAAAAAATGCAAATTTACCATATTATCCTCATTTAATTAATAATTTTAATTCTTAATGTTTGAATTAACCAAGGGCATTTTATGGTATTTTGAACACCATTCTCTACCTTTTGCTTTAAATATATAGATTAAAGACAAAGAACATTTAAAATAAAAAATAAAGAATCTTATCACTAGATCCAACATAATAATATACATTCTGCAACCCTAGTTAGACTTATTTTTCAGACTACTTTTTCAAGCTATCATATTGCTAGATTCTTGTTCTCGTAACTAAACCATAACAAGTGCAATTACGCTTAATTATATTGGTCAAACCATATATACTATTTACCCATGATGAAGGGTGAAATTGAAGTAAGGGAGTTTTCGAATGAGGCATGAGTTAATTTTGTTGTGTTTTATAAGTGTTTAGTTACATGGTGGTCGCTACTTTTCCAATACTAAATTTTGGTGAGTTTAGTTGTAGATGACCGAAATTTAACCTAATATTTGGTGTCATTCTATCATGAAATTGAAAGTAGTTTAGTTGTATTTGACAGAATTTGTACCTATTACTTGGTGGTGACCCACCGAAAATTATTCATTTTTTCAATAAGTTGTCGACCATAAACTTAATGCAATATATTTTTCCTTTTTCCTATTGAATTAACAAAAAGAAGGTGACGCTGCTGTTGAAAGCAAAAATATTGGACTAGAATGTGTAATGGACTACAGTGATCAATTCATAGCTTACGAGGTAATCATTTTTAGTAAATTTTTTTTTTGGGTCTAAAATCTTGTTTTTTTTAATATGCAAGCGATAATCTAAGGGAGGGGGATTTGATCTCGGGTGCAGAGTGGGGAGCACATCCGTTTTAGCCAACTTGGTTAAGCCCATGCGTATTGTCTTAACCAGTTTTAGTATCATTAACGTGACATTACATTTCAAATTTTAATTTCAAATCACATGAGTGTTATGTGTAGATATTCAAAGGGCATTATTTAGATGGGATCGTGCACAAGGAAAGATGAATAATATCGTAATTGTTATTAGAAGGTCTAATTATGGAGTTAAGGGCAAGAGGTTGAAGAGACCTCGAGTAACACTGGCTTGTAAGAGAAAAGGTAAATATGAGACAAATGGTGCAAGGTTAGATGCAAATGGTAATATGAAAAAGCATTAGAGGAACACTGGTAACATGAAATGTGGATGCCCATTCTTGTTAAAGGGTGTCAATATTGGTGATAGGGATGATTGGAAGTTAGAGGTGGTTTGTGAAATACGTAGCCATGCTACTTCGGAGTATCTTGAAGGTCATTAATTGCACTTTCTGAAGAGAAGAATGCTTTGTTGGTGGACAGTCTAAGAGTTTGGTGAAACTCGTATATTTTGGTCACCCTAAAAGATAGGAATGCAATGAATGTTTCAACTATCACGATAATATACAATACTGGGATCTGAAATATAACAAAAGAATTTACTAGATGAACACAGATTCAACAATTGATTATTAAGTTGTCCAAACACAATTGATTTTGTTGATGATGATCATTATATCCAAGTATGAATTTATTTGTCTAAGAACCCTCTCAAGATGGTAGGGATCAACAACATCACAACACTTGAGCAAAGCATCCATGACTTTTAGGTTTATGTGAGTTTTAATTTTGAGGGTAGTTGTGTATATTTAAGAAGATTTTATGCTATATCAGAAAGTTTTTATAAAAATTTACATTTATGAAATTATATGAGTTAGATTTTGGCCTTTTTATCATGCAGGGGCTAACAATGAACAATTATGTTAAAGACTAAACAGTACGAGCTTACAATCCTTCATAGTACTTAAATTTTAGTTTATAATAATTTAGTTTTTATATATAATGATTTTGCGAATTTTGACCCTGCACTAGCAATTCAACTAAAGGAACCTAACGGTAGTAGTAGAGGTAAATGTCTATGTTAGAACCTGTAAGGTCGCATTAGAATAAGCACAAACATCAAAGGACTGAAATTTAGCCAAAACTTTTTAAGGTTTTGAATTCTCGGAACAAAAGAACAAGATCCAGTCATATCATTGTAGCTCCAGGAAAGGAATATTTGCAGCACAACCTAGTCTAAGAACAAACTGATGGGAGCAGCTTCACGAGGAATGGAAACTCAAAAAAGGACTAGAGGAACCCTCCTGTGTCTGACCGGAAAAAAAATTCCTGTCTAAACGTCTGTCAGAGGGGCTAGCCTTGCTCATACGTTGGTAACTAACAACTTGCATATACAGAAATAGCTCATAACCGACATGGCTGGTCGACCAGCTTCACCTTTTTCCACCAGTGTTAACTCGTGGTTTGCTTTTAACCTCGGCTTCCTGAAAACAAAGAAAAATATAAACATCCAGTCTTGAGTATTTTCAGGCCATCATGAACAAAATTGTTGAAATGTATTGTCTGAATATACCTGTGGCAAATGGAGGAAAATGTAGTTCTTTGCGGTAGCTGGATTATGATTTTCTGCACCCTTGCTCCAATCATAGCAAACCTGCAAACAAAAGTTCAGAAAACATCTTCAATATAATATTTAAATTATGAGAAGAAAATATGT